TGCTCGCAAGGCCCGGCAAGGCGCCCTGGGAGGCCCGGAAGGGCCAGCGAACCTTTTCCAAGGTCGTCCTGGGGGCCGCCGAGACGTCCGAAAGGGCGTCCGGGGCGTCCCTGGGGGGAGGTCCGGTTCAGGGGTGGGGTGGGGTGGGGGGGTTTGGGTAATAGAAATATAGGAATAGGAATATAGATGCTGGAGCACCAGAAGCCTGGTCCCCGGGCCGGGACACCAGCCCCCCCGGATTCCCCCCCCCCATGCCCGCCCCTCCCCTGAGGGTTTCCCGGCCCCTCCCTGGACACCGAAAGAGTTCCAGGGAGCACGACGCAGCGACAAGAGCCGCGCAATGGCAATAGCGCCCAAGACGACCCAAGATTAGGGGAACGAAAAATGCCATAAACATAAAAACTCTGAGTTCCGCGCGGATTTCCAAGATCGCCTCCGTAGCCATTCTCCGTAGCCATGTTGGCTCATGCTGGGCGTCTCGGCATCCCCCGTCAGCGCTGACCATGGTTGCTTGCCCTGGCTTGATGTGGTTTGAGTGGAGGAGGACGACCCGCATTTTTCCCAGCGATTCAGAGAGCTCGGCGGTGGCGCCGGGGGGGGCTCACGGTAAGCCGCAAACGGATGGCAAAGGGGTCGACCGATTCGGTGAGCATTGGGGCATGAGCAGGGAGCAGTGTGAGGAGTTGCTTATGGAAATTCGTATGGACCCTCATTGGGATCCACACACGACCATGTACACCTTTGTGAACGATTACGTGAAGCCTCGTACCATGGGGTCTGGTATGGGCCTCGCGCTTTTGATAAATCGCGAAACGCCCTTGGAGGTGAACAAGATGGTCTCCCACTGCTGGGCTGAGAATGTAGAAGAGTTTCTGACACAGGTGATCGGCTCCACTCATGCTGGTGACGTGCTCTTCATTTGCGCATTTTCCATTTATCAGTGTGAGGACGGGGCTGGCCCCAGTATTCAAGAACAAATCGGGACAGTCCCCTCCGAGACCCCATTCGGTCGTGTTCTCTCCAACGTGAAGCGCCTAGACCAGCAGTCTGGCCCACTTTCCAGGCATGTTGACGTCTTACAGTGGCTTCCCACTGTATGTTTCGTGATTTCTTTGTTGCTCATGTTCGCCTATCCGCTTTGGTTCTCCCGACTTCCCAAGCTGGATGGGCAATGCCATGGAATACTTCTCAGCATCGACGGCATCAAACATAATGGTCACTACGCTGATCAATTCGAGGATCACACTGCAGTTTCAGCAAGAATGTGTAAGTATGCGACCGCAGCTGATGCTGAAATCTGCGGGACGTATGTGGCAGAGCCGTGTCCTGAATACGCGTGGCCTCTCCAAGTTGTGGGCCTTCTTTTCGTCTTGGCAGCCGCCGTCGCGAAGACTCTGCAGTTCTTGGGACCGTCACCTAGGGGGATGGTCGTTGTACCGACACGGCAGGCGGACATGTACAACAGGCTGTGGTGCGTCTATGAAATATTCTTCGCAGCCGTCAAGGTTGGCATACGTGTTGACATTGCAAAGACTTTGATCGCTTGTGGTGCTTGCGCTTCAGAGACGGCAAGATGCTCGAACGAGGATGACCAGCAGCGCATCCAGGCAGAGATCAGAGAAGCTGGTGGATTTACTTGTGTCGACTCCGCCGTGTTGAGGAAGAGGAGGGAATCGGAATTCAAGATCGCCTTGAGTTTTGCGCTGGCTTTCTTTTTAGGAGCGATCGGATCAGTGAGCAGCCTCATGCTCTTGGGTGTCGAACCTGGCGCCGCCTTGGGCTTCTGCATAGGCTTTGTACTGGTGTGCATGCCGGGAGCCATCATCATAGCCAGAGTGCTCATCCCGATGCAGGGGTCCCTGACGAAAGCTCAGGCGCTGCGCTATGGCTACCTCCTGCCGCTCGTGGTCGTTGGTGTCAGCTCTCTTTCTTTCACTGTCCTCACCGAGACGTCGAGAGTGAGGTTGTGCGAAGCCATCATAAATGCAGACGGGTCCTTCCAGGAATTGTCTAACTGCAATGCGTTCGTTTATTGTCTGCAGATTGGAACGTCGCTGTTCAGCTTTGCTCAATTCGGAGGTATGGTCTTCATGGTGATCGCCGTGCATCTGTCCCCAGCATGGGCCAAGCCACAAGTTCTGCAGCGATCGCAGCTCAGCGCAACGTGTGCTGCGATGATCACAATCACCATGATTGTCCCGCATCTCGGAGCGAAGGGCCAGCATTTCGGGAAGCTCTTGCCGTGGGAGGACTACATCGTGGTGTGTTTCTTGCTGTTCTCCCCCATGTACATCTTCTTTATCTATGTCCCTAGCATGCTTGTCGCCTTCAACGTGCACATCAAGAAGCAGTCCGCGGATGGTGCCCAGGACGCGCGCTTGATCAGGCCGAAGCTGGGGCAGCGCTTGGTGTATTTCTGGTCATCTAGGGTGGATGACTGGCGCAATCTCCCGGCCATGCCCCCCAAGCTTGATGGTCAGGCTATGCCTAATGAATTGGTTTGCAGAGGCCTGGATGAATCGGTGTGGCAGGAGTGGCTGCAGAAGTTGAAAGAGGTCAATACAGAGGCGTGGCGTCATCCAAGCATGTGGCTGTGGACAGGATGCAGCTTCGCGCTCTGGTGCCTTACTATTGTTGCGACAGTTTGGGCTACGCTTTTGGTGATGTGGCCGATCTTCCTCATCCCTGGACTTAGGCAGCGGCCGCCCTACCAGCGAGGTCTTAAGAGGTGGCTTGCTGATTTCAACGAGGTGCTCGCCCCTCTTGGAATGTGGGTCAAGGCACAGACGATCAAGCGGGGTGCCTGCGAGGTGTCCTTCTTGTCGTTCGCGTTGACACCAGAGGAATCTGTTTCTTTACAGGACGAGCCTGTGATCTGTGCCGGGGACAGCCTCTGCATTCAAGGAGATGGCAACTTCTTCGATGATGGGCGATGCCTGCCTGATCGTGATCGCGTTGTTTGAGACATGTTTGATTGCAATGCCAGTTTGTCGACACAGAGCTGGAGGGATGCAGATGTCGCTCTCGATGCCAAGTGCGATTGGGAGGTTCCATCGGGAGTATGTGTAGACATTATAGCCAAGCCGCACATGTACGAGGGAGGCATTTTACCTCGAGAAACACCGCATGCGCGATATCGGTGAAGAAGTGCTGGGATTTGCGGCAGATTGCCGCGTGCGCCACCTCCGACAACGTGCTGCATGGCTATGTGCACCATCTCCGCCGCACTTCTCCCGCTTTTAGGTCCACGCTATGCTGGTCTCTGATTCTCATTCTGGGTGTAGAGCCACGTAGATGCTGACCTACGCACATGTTTTGATGCATGATCGTTTTGATTCTGGTTCGCTCGTGTCTACCGGTGGATGCACTTTCGCGGTGTACGCCGCCAACACGGCGGGGGTGCCGCGTGCGATTTTTTATGAGCCCGCAAAGCGGGAACCACGGCAGGCACCCGCCGGTAGACGAGCACGCAAGGTACAAACCAGATGTCAGGGGGGGCATCAGCAGGGTTCGAAGATCGCCAGACTGGTGCCGCCGGCTGCCAAGTCTTCCGCCTCTTCCTCCACCTCCCTGGGCTCCTCCTCCTCCTCCTCACCCTTGCTTCTGTGCTCCTTCATCACCGTGCCTGGTGTGCACAGCTCTACAGTAGGGGTCTTGAAGAAGGAACCCTTTTCGTTGGGGAGGGGCTCCGTGTTCCTTGATTGTTTCACAGCTTGCCTAAGGTTGTCCCAAGGTTTTCGATAGGGGGATCGAAGCTTAACTTCTGGAGAAGAGGGGCCTCGCTTCTCATTTAGGGTTCCTTAGGTCAGCGCCCCGACTCTGTGCCCGCCAGGTGTCCTCGCCGCGAGAGGTTTAGGCGTCGAAGCAGGCCGTGGATGCGGAGAAGAACCCGAAGGGAAAGGAGCGGCCACATTGCCATCGCCATCTTTTCATGCGGTCTTCTTGTGCTCGGGGCAATGTCGTGACCATCGCAGTCTCTGGGGGGTCTTTTGGAGCGATGCAGGCCTTATTTTCCTCGCCCTCTGCCTGTCGTATGAGCGCATGGACCATTCACCCAGTCCTGGGGAGTTCATGAAGAACGTGAGGATAGCTGGCGACAAGACTATCGCGCGGCGTGACTCGAGGGACCCGTGGACTGCCCACGCACGGCCCTGCCACGGCGGGCGAAGCCCTGGCAGTGGCAGCTCCGACCCGGCGAGCCGCTGGTGCCGCGCCAGATGTCGCCAGAGGAGGAGGAGGAGGAGGAGGAGGAGGAGGAGGAGGAGGAGGAGTGAGGAGGAGGAGGAGGAGGAGGAGGAGGAGGAGGAGGAGGAGGAGGAGGAGGAGGAGGAGGAGGAGGAGGAGGAGGGGGAGGAGGAGGAGGAGGAGGAGGGAGGAGGGAGGAGGTGTGGAAGTGGATGAGGACAATGGCTTAACGAAGTGGGCAGGGTGTGTAAGTGTATGATTCGCTGCATGTGGGCAGCCCCAGTGCGTGGGAGATCCCCAGCAGGTCCACGCTCGGCGGGAGTGCAGGCCGTCTGTGAGCTGCAGCCCTTGCCCGGGTGCCCTGTCTCAGTTTGCGTGCTTCTCCCTGTCCGTCCTGCTGCTGCAGAGGCGTGGAGCTCACTCCCGCACTGCCCGAAGGATTGCAAAAAAACCCAAGAATTGAAGGATTGCAAAAAAAAACAGGGTTTTTTTGCAATCCAGGGTTTTTTTGCAATCCTGCGCCCTCTGTCGACTCGCCCCCGGGCGACGCCGCCGCTCCCGCCGGCGCCGCCCCCCCCCCCCCGACGGCCCGACGGCCTGCGCCTGCTGGTCCGCAGCCCTGCGCACCAGCAGCTGCACGCACGGGTGGTGGCAGCGCCGGCGCTCGGGGCCACGCTCCGGGCTGTGTGCAGAGCTTGCGCGTTGTACCAAGGGCTCCCTCGAGGGCGCGAAGTTATTCGCGCTTCGCGCTTCGCGGTCCTCGTTCCTTCTCCCCCTCCTCCTCGTCCTCCTATTCTCCCTTTGGGAGGGCGGCGCGAGAGCGCGAAGTTATTCGCGCTTCGCGCTTCGCGCAGCGCGAAGCGCGAAGTTGGGAGCCCTTATGTACTGTCTGTGCGCAGCCTGCCTGCCCCCCCCCCCCCAAAAAAAAGAAAAAGATCGCCTCTGTGACCATTCTGGCCCAAGTTCGAGATAGATCAGAAAAGAACC